TATCTCCAATTAACCAGCAAAAAGTGAAACTGTGGTTTGAGTGGTAAAACATTAGCCTTGAGTGAAAAAGCTAAGGATCGCACCTAGGCCCTGATTCAGACCCCAATGCTAACACATACACACAATCATACAAACACACACACACACAGGCTAAAATGAACAACCATAGTCTACTATTGAGGGTAAAATAAGAAACTCTAAAAGGACACAATGAATAATTTCATATGCCTGCCTTTTCTTTGATAGATAAGGCTGACATATTCTATTTGAAATAAAAAAATGAAATAACTGCTGTCTTGTGCTTTGGGAATCACAGCGGTCTTCTTAGTAAGAATATAGTATATTCTCTTATATAGTATATTCTCTTTCATTCTAAAGATGAAAATCCAACTTATCCTTTCCCATTTCCTCACTATGCCATCCAAAGTCTACCCTATGGTCGCCAACCTTGTGTTTTTCTGAAACTAGGTCAAACTGCTGTCTTTCTCTGCAAATATTTCTACCCAGCTGTGGTACATATCTAAGAGATTTTCTGTTCTTGAAAAGCAATTACTGCATGAAGTGACAAGTTCCTTTTTTCTTTTCTGTCTTGAATGGATAGAAAGACATGTTTGCTTTATTTTCCTGCTCTTGCTTAGCATTCTCTGCTTGGGCCACACTTCCATTTCTGACTTTTATTTTCTGGATAGCTGGAGATAAGAGTCTCTGGATTTGTTTCCTTTGGATTTGTTTCCTTGGGCTGGCTTCAAGCTGGTTCCTCAGGTCTCAGCTTCCTGAGTAGCTAGGATTACAGGTACTATCACTTGGCCTCACTGTTTTATTAAAGAGCCCCATGTGCGAGCATTTGGCAATTATCTAAACCAAAATAAACAAGTGATTTCAGCTTCAAAACAGCTTCAAGTCACTGAGCTTTTTGTCATTCTTAGATGGAATCCTTTCCCATGACTTTCACAATCTTGCCAGCTTTCCCCAGTCCTGGAAGGTGCTTGGCACTGAGCAGTAGGGAACCAATGCTTTGTTTCCTCCCCCTCCCCCTCCCCCTCCCCCTCCCCCTCTCCCTCCCCCTCCCCTTCCTCCTCCTCCTCCCCCTCCTCCTCTCCCCCTCCTCCCCCCTCCCCCTCCCCCTCCCCCTCCATCTTCATCTTCATCTTCTTTCTTCTTCTTCCAACTTGGGACTTGAACTCAGGGCCTGGGCACTGTCCCTCAGCTCTTCAGCTCAAGGCTAGAGCTCTACCACTTGAGCCACAGAGCCACTTCCAGCTTATGTGGTGCTGAGGAATCGAACCCAGGGCCTCAGGCATGCAAGGCAAGTGCTCTATCACTGAGCTACCTTCCCAGCCCCCAAAATAAAATCTACCTTTCTTTTTTTTTTCTTTTCTTTTTTTTTTTTTTTTTGTGGGGGGGGTCTGGTCGTGGAGTCTGAACTCTGGGCCTGGGCGCTGTCCCTCAGCTCTTCAGCTCAAGACTAGTGCTCTACCACTTGAGCCACAGCGCCACTTCTGGCTTTTTTCTGCTTATGTGGTGCTGAGGAATCGAACCCAGGGCCTCATGCATGCGAGGCAAGCACTCTACCACTGAGCCACCTTCCCAGCCCAAAACTAGCTTTCTACCACTTGAGCCACAACTCCATTTATGGATTTTGATGGTTAATTGGAGATAAGAGTCTCACGGACCTTCCTGCCTGGACTGGCTTTGAACAACAATCCTCACATCTTAGCCTCCTGAATCGTTAGGATTACAAGTTTGAGCCACTGGCGCCCAGCAAGAACCAGTGCTTTCCATTGTTTCTACATTTGTCTAGGTCTCACTTGGTAAGAGGCAAAGAAATGTTGGGGAGGGAAATGATAGGGTCACTAGAGCAAAGCTATGTGGCTCTCCCATGACCAGCCCATGGCATGCTTCCCAATATTTGCAGGCTTAACATCTCAAAGTAAGCTTGTTTTCAATTATTTCTTCTCTTCAATATCCCTTTCAGAGAAGGAGTAGGATCTAAGCAAGTGTCTCCTCATCTCTTTCTTGCTGCAATCCATGTCCCCAGATAAAGTCGTTTTGACTTTATATTACCAGGGAAAACCATACTTCATACTTACTATTTCTCTAGATCAACCACTGTATATCTTTGCTTAACTCTTTTTTTTTTTTTTTTGTCGATTGTGGGGCCTGAGCTCTGGGCCTGGGCGCTGTCCCTCAGCTCTTCAGCTCAAGGTTAGCACTCTACCACTTGAGCCACAGCGCCTCTTCTGGCTTTTTCTGCTTATGGGGTGCTGAGGAATCGAACCCAGGGCCTCATGCATGCAAGGCAAGCACTGAGCCACCTTCCCAGCCCATATCTTTGCTTAACTCTTAAAGATGATGCTTTCAACAAGGTTTTGGTAAATGATGCTTTAGAGGAAAATATGTGGGATACATCATCTTCTAGACAAAGCGAGTCAATGGTGTGAAGTTGCTGCATTCTTTCTGAGAAGGCAGCGTTATGAGCCGCACTGCCCTTCAGTGATGCGGGGCTTGGCGTGTGTTACTGCACACAGAGGGTAGTGTTGTCCCCCTCTCCCCATCCCAAACACTTACTGTGTTGGTAAGAACCAGTCGCAATCCCAGTGGGAGCAGTAAAGAATGTGCCAGTTAGTTGCGACAGCTGAGAAAGAACTCCTATGCCTTCCTCTATGCAGAGAAAAATACTTGCATTAGTACAATAGGTCTCTCTAGGTACAGTTAAATATTGCTTACAACAATAATGTCCTGGCACAAAAAAAAAAGCCAGTAGCAGTTTTTACCTTCCATTCAATTCCTCTATCAGCATTGAAAACACAGCTAAAAAGCTGGGCCCTGGTGGCTCACACCTGTAATCTTAGCTACTTGGGAGGCTGAGATCTAAGGATTGAGGTTCAAAGCCAGCATAGGCAGGAAAGTCCATGAGACAATTATCTCCAATTAAGCCCCAGAAAACCAGAAATGGCACTGTGGCTCAAAGTGGTAGAGTGTTAGCCTTGAACAAAAAAATCTCAGGAACAATGCCCAGGCCCTGAGTTCAAGCCCTACAATCAACAAAAACAAACAAAACCCACTAAATCCAGAAACTGAAGAATTGGATTTAGCAGAACTAAACAATAGGTTGAGAAAATATGGCATAGAGTTAGAACTAGTGTTTTTGTTTTTCAAATGTGGAATATTTATTTAGCCCAAAGACAATTATGTCTACTTTCTTTTCTTTCTTTTCTTTTTTTTTTTTTTTTTGTTGGTCGTGGGGCCTGAACTCTGGGCCTGGGTGCTGTCCCTCAGGTCTTCAGCTCAAGGTTAACACTCTACTACTTGAACTACAGCACTACTTCTGGCTTTTTCTGCGTATGTGGTACTAAGGAATGGAACCCAGGGCCTTATGCATATGAGGCACTCTACTACTGAGCCACCTTCCCAGCCCCAATTATGTCTATTTTCTAAAATAGTTTGACTCAAAGGAGAATTTTCATTGTCAGAGGACAGAGGTAAAATGGTTAAACACAGGATGGCTTCCAATGGCTGAAATTTAGTGTGACATCAGTTTTACCACCTCTTTGATGACACAAAACATAGATTGGACTATAAAATTCAATGTGTCGATTGAATTACTTGGGCTGACTAGTGTAGTGAGTAATGTAGTGAGTAATGTATTTCAGTTCTTTGTGGTCACTGAATAAATGCTTTGAACTGCTTGGAACCAGAAGGTAGAGTTGGAAAGCTTTGAATATCTCTTACTGAGTGTCTGATGTTTTTATTGATGGTGAAATCAAGAGAGTCCATTCGCTGTGGGAAGAACAGTCTTTAAAAGAAAAGATGTTAGAAAAATTAGATATCCAGATGTTAAATATTGAATATCATATACATGGGTTCCTGGAAGAATAGATAGTAAGAATCAAGAATCATTCTGTTTGCTGTTTTTTTTGGGGTTGTTTTTTTTTTTGGCCAGTATTAGGGCTTGAACTTCTTTTGCTCAAGGCTAGCACGCTACCAGTTGCCACTTCTGGTTTTTTCTGATTATGTGGTACAGAGGAAGAGAACCCAGGGCTTCATGCATGCTAGGCAAGCATTCTACCACTAAGCCACCTTCCCAGCACCACTTATGGGAGCTGAGGGACAGCGCCCAGGCCCAGAGTTCAGGCCCACAACCGACAAAACAACAACAACAACAACAACAAAAAAGAATTGTTCTGGTAAAATGACATAAATTGTGAATACAGATTAATTAATTAAAATTAATAATAGATTCCACAGTGAATTTGATTGATGTTTCTGCAGTTTCCTCTCCTGCGTGAAGTTGGCTGTGTGCGGCAGCGGCAGCCACAAGCAGCCTTGGTGATCCTCATCCATGCTTGCCTTCACTCAGTTCTCCACCGGTTTGTTGCTTTTGATTATTTTATTTTCTTGGTGCCAGTCCTGGGCCTTGAACTCAGGGCCTGAGTGCTGTTCCTGAGCTTCTTTTGCTGGAGGCTCACACTTTATGATTTGAGCCACAGCTCCACTTCTAGATTTTAGTAGTTTATTGGAGAATATGTCTCACAGATATTTTTTGCTAGGCTGGCTTCAAACTTATGATCCTCAGATCTCAGCCTCCTGAGTAGCTAGAATTACAGGTGTGTGCCACTTGGCTTTTCCACTGATTTTTTTTTTTTTTTCAACTGTGGGGTCTGAACTCTGGGCCTGGGCGCTGTCCCTCAGCTCTTCAGCTCAAGGCTAGCACTCTACCATTTAAGCCATAGCACCACTTCCAGCTTTTATTGCTTATATGGTGCTGAGGAATTGAACCCAAGGCCTCATGCATATAAGGCAAGCGCTCTACCACTAAGCCACCTTCCCAGTCCCCTCCACTGATTTTAATGTTATTGAAGTACCAAAATATTCGCAAGTCCTTAAGGCCTAGAGGTGACTTTCTATGAGGAATCAGAGGCCCACAAACCTGCCTAACAGACAAGTACTGGCCTTGTGTCACCAAGTTCCTGCTCACCCAGGGTCAAGACACCACGGAATCAGTTTCCTCACACTGATGGACAGCCAGCTCCCCGACACTATGCAGCCCAATTTTAATCTTGTTCTTTCATAATACACAGAAATAATGTCAGTGATTCTCACCACTAGTGACTCTGTTCCTGCAGAAATCATTTCCTCTGGGCACTATCCCTCATCCCCCTTTCCCACAAAAAGTCCATGTGAGGTATAAACTGGCCAAGGGAAAACGAGTAAGCCATGAGGAATCCTGAGACCAGATGCATTTCACACTTTCACCAAACATCACCGTGAAGTGGGCGTGCCCCGCCCCCTATCCTGTGCCCGGAGCTGACCAGATGCGCCAAGTGGCACAAAGATGTCCACGTGTCCTCCTTCTTCCTCAGTGGCCACATAGCTCCCTAATTTCTCCCAGAAGTCTCTCACTTCAGGCTTCAGTAAATTTTTAATAGCAATTTTATAACCTGAGGGGAGGGAAGACAAAAACATCATAGTCATTTTCAACATTATTATGAACAGAACCATACCAACATCAACCACCCTCCCATAAGACGCCGTGTGCCAGGCTGGGTCGCTAAGGTGAGGAGGATGCCCCGGCCACTGACTCCTCCATCTCTCTGGGTTGTTGGCATACAGTATTCTTGGGCATAGAATACAACATTTCCGCCTGCACCATACAGCAGAGGAGTCCCCAGAGATTCACCTTATGAGGTTTAATAATGTTACATAACAACTAGCACTTTTCTATCTGTTTAACATTTCTCTCTCTCTCTCCTCTTCTCTCTCTCCTGTCTTCTCTCTCTCTCTCTCCTCTCTCTCTCTCTCTCTCTCTCTCTCTCTCTCTCTCTCTCTCTCTCTTTCCCTGCCAGTCCTGGGCTTAAACTTGGGGCCTGGTGCTGTCCTTGAGCTTCTTTTGCTCAAGGCTAGCACTCTACCCCTTGAGCCACAGCGCTACTTCCAACTTTTTCTGTTTATATGGTACTGAGGACGCAAACCCAAGGCTTCATGCATGCTAGGCAAGCACTCTACCACTAAGCCATATTCCCAGCCCTTTTATCTTTTTTTTATCTAATGTAATATTACTTAATAATGGTTGAACTGGGTGCCGGTAGCTTGCACGTATAATCCCAGCTACTCAGGAATTTGAGATCTGAGGATTGAGGTTCAAAGTCAGCCCAAGCAGGAAAATCAGTGAGAGTTTATCTCCAATTAACCACTAGAAAACTGAATATGGCGCTGTGATTCAAACTGGCAGAACACTAGCCTTGAATGAAAAAGCTCAGGAACAGTGCCCAGGCTCTGAGTTCAAGTCCCATGACCGCCAGAAAAAAAAAAAAAAAAAGATTGAGAGTAATTTTCAAGTTGTGTTTTTAATCATAGCTTTAAATTTTTTATCATGAAAATTATTCTATTGATGGGGTTGGGAAGGAGGCTCAGTGGTAGAATGCTAGTCTTGCATGCATGAGGCCCTGGGTTTGATTCCTCAGCACCACATAAGCAGAAAAAGCCAGAAGTGGCGCTGTGACTCAAGTGGTAGACCACTAGACTTGAGCTGTAGAGATGAGGGACAGTGCCCAGGCTCAGAGTTCAAGCCCACGACAGATTAAAAAAAAAGAAAAAAGAAAAAGAAAATTGTTCATAAAGCCAAAGCCAACACTCCTTACAAAATCAGCACCAAATAAACAAGTCAGTAGTGTTCTTTGCCAATGGCCAGCCTACCTTTGAGTAAGTTGATTCCTCTGCTGTCTCCATCACTAAATATTCCAACACTGAGTGCCTTCTGGCCGTGCAGAGCTCTGTCTACAAGACAAAGCAGGCTCTCCAAGGTCATGCCGCTGTGTTCATACACCACAGCAACGACCCCTGCCTTAGTACTGTCCACCACCATCTGCAAAACAAAGTGCCAACTGTGGAAATCATACCCACCATTTGAACATCTTTGTTAATGAAAAAACAGTAGATATAGAATATGCTGTCATTTCTAGAAACATTGAGCTTTCTCCTTATTGGTTTCTCCTTAAATTATTTAATTTTTTACCTAGTCATAAGAGGAGAAAGTTCAGTTAAGTTTTAACTCCATCACCCCCAGATAATAGTGTTAATGGTTTAGATTATTTTCCTCTAGGCATCTCATCTTTGTATATACAATGCACAGAGACATATGCAAAACTTAAAAAAATTCTATCATAGATTTTCTAAGTTGATTTAAAATCTGTCCATGTAATATTAATATTACATAGTAATATTCAATATTAATAGTAATGTTAAAATATTAAAATATATAACCTCATCATATAATGAACAAATTTTAATGTAATGGCATCTTCCTTAAACAGATCACAAAATGGAACTACTAACATTCTTGAGAGCTGGTGGTTACATGATATTATTAAGCACTTTGGGAATTCTAAAAAAAAATTGAAACTATGTTTTGTTTGAGCAACGACCTTCTAGCCTAGTTCAGTGTTGAACTCACAATCTTCCTGCCAAAGCCTCAGGAGGTACTGGGATTACAGATGTGCATTACCATACTGCTTCCTCCTTCTCTTCCTCCTCTTCCTCCTCCTCTTCTTCCTCTTCCTCCTCCTCCTTCTTTTCTTGTTTTGTTTTGTTTTTGCCAGTCCTGGGGCTTGAACTCAGGGCCTGGGCACTGTCCTTGAGCTTCTTTTGATCAAGGTAGCACCACTCAAGCCACAGTGCCACTTCTGGCTTTTTCTGTTTATGTGGTACTGAGGATTGAACCCAGCACTTCATGCATTGTAGGCAAGGACTCTACCACTAAGCCACATTTCCAGCCTCTCTTTTCCTGTTAGACATGATCCCATAAAATAATTCTCAGTAAGTGTACTTGCACACTAGGTATGCAGTTTATGCCTCTAGTCTTGCAAAATACACTGATTATAGTTTTCTTGATGGCTTCTAATATTTTCAGGAGATGAATTGCTTTCTTTCTTTTTTTTTAAATTAGTCCTGGGGTTTGAACTCAGGTCTGGGCTCTGTCCCTGAGCTTCTTTGTGCTCAAGGCTAGTGCTCTACCACTTGAGCCACAGTGTTACTTCTAACTTTTTCTGAGTAGTTTATTGGAGATAAGAGTGCCACGGGCTTTCCTGCCTGGACTGGCTTTGAACCATGATCCTCAGATCTCAGTCTACTGAGTAGCTAGGATTACAGGCGTGAGCCACTGTCACCAGGCTTTGAAATGAATCATTTCCATACACAAAAGACATATCCTCTAATGTAGATGAAAAACCCACTCCAAAAGGGCTAGCCAGTAACACAGTGTGTACCTCATATGCAGGAATCTGAGATGATATTAGTATGACATGCAGCTGAGAAGTATGTGAAGAGTTATCCTCATTTTCATAAGCTCCATGCAGTGTTTTCTTTGATAATAGAGGATAAGAATGGCTTCCAGAAACATTGCTTCTGTAGGGAGCAAAGGAGTGTCAGTGAGGTTCTTATTTCCTGCTAACTTTCACTAGTAAGCACCCACATCCTCCAGATGTCAGCCATACTGAGCAAGGCCTTGGAGTCTTAGGCTCTCCCTGCAGTTTGGAGAAATGGAGCCACATCTACCCTGTAGGTCTCTCCCCTTCCATATAAAGGGGGTGGGAAGGATCTCCTGGAATTTACTTAGCAAAATTAATGTTATTATATACACAGGAAGTCTTTGTTCACTGATAAGCCAGAATTTCTCTGACTCAGATAATAAAAGAGAATTATATTTGAATGTACAAATATAAATAGGAGCTATGTTTGGATCTGTTTTGATACTGCCTGACTCTGAAATGACTCCTAAAGTCTTATACGTTAAAGGCTTAGTCCTCAGCCTGGCAGTATTGGGAGATGGTGGAAGGCAGTTGTACAATTTTGTTTAGTGCTCCCATCATGATATACTGCCCCGCCACAGGCCCAAAGCACTGGTCCAAATGACCATGGACTGAGGCCTCTGAAACCATGGGCCAAAGCAAGCTTTGCTCCTTCTAAACTGGTCTATCCCAGGTTATAGCAGGGAAAATTGACACAGTTACCATTTGGATGCTCTTATTCCATAAGGATGGCTTCTGGAAAATATTATCTTTGTTCCAATAACTTCAAACAGAAAACATACTCCCTAAGGTAGTCTGTTTGCAGGGCTAAGAAGACATTAAATGGAGGTTGAAATGTCACTCATTTTTTCTCTTCAGAAAGTGTTTTCAAGAGTGCTATTCTTGAAAATGAACTATTTCTTAGACTGAAACCACACAATTATACATGCTCCTTACTGCTAGCCAAACTATTCTAGAATGGAGTCTTGGTAACACCAGGTACTCTAGAGCTCCAAAAGGTGGAAGTTTACTCACCGCGTGGGCAAAGCGTCTAAGGATGCCACAACGAGCTGTTTCTCCAGAGCTTCACCAAGTCCCTCTCGCTCCTGCCTGACCTGGGAGGGCTGTGGCTGGTGGCTGAAGCTCACCAGCCTGGAGCAGCACGCCCCACTCCCCCAAGGGGGACGAGCTTTGAATAACTGCTCTGAAAAACAAACATTAGCTTCTCCCAGCCATGCCAACATAGATAAAAGCATCAGAAATCAAGCTGAGACAATGTTCCATTGACAATAATTAGAGCCACTTTTATACTCTTGGTTAGTGTTTTGTCCCTCAAAAACACTGTCCACTAGGGCAGGGAGATGACAGTCATTTAAGGCCAAGAAACAAAGCACAAGCAACTTTTCCGTGGGGCCCATTCATGCCTCAGCTTCTTAACCATTTCTGCCCTTCTTGGCTCCAGGTTAATGTCTCATCGGGAGAGCTCAAATCTGCTTATTGCTTACTTTTACACACTGTGCACACTAGACGGCTTGGTGTGCACCATTCCTTGTCCTCACTTTCTTCTTGTTCTTTTTCAAAAAATGCCATTGCTCCTTCATCGATTCCTCTTGTCATGATTCCCTTCCCACCAATCTCGGGCTGTCTGTTCTGCGCCCATGTCATACCTTTTGCGTGTATTTTGCTTTTGGTAACACTGGGGTTTGTACTCAGTTTGTACACTTGCCAGGCAAGTGCTCTACCACAGGAGCTACCCCGTAGTCCTGTTTAGACTTTCCTCCTTCCTGCTTTGGTCTTCCAAACCCAGGAGGAACTGGGACTGATGTCGGTCTCATATATCTCATCTGACACCTTTGTATTTATTATAAATAGCTTAAAATATAACAATAAAGAAAAACAGAAGTAGCCACGAGCAAGTTTTAAAGCAAGCTGCACGTGTCATCAGTCCCATGGTGACATGGGCACCACATGGGAATTTGTGTAGAAATCCATTTGTTTTTACAAAATACTTGGGGAAATGATAAAGTCTTTAAATGTTACTTACTCTTATGTAGTGCAATTTTCTCCCAGATAATTTTCCTTAGGTACTTTTCTCTTTGCCTCTCCTGAAGCTCCTCATCCTCTGTTTTGGGTTCATTTAGTGTCCCATACACAGCAGTGGCTTCCCTGGGGGTTAGCCAGTCCAGATTGGATACACAAGCAATATAATGGCGCTTCCAAGCACCATACTCATTATCTGTTGGAGTATAGGGCAGAAACCATCCGAATCTAACACATTTGGGCATCCACAAGCAATCCTGCAGGAAACGAACAAGAAGGAGATGAGTTGACACTTTTTTTTAAAGGATAATTTTCTAGCAATAACTTTTTCAGGTACATATTGGTTACATTATATTTCTGAGATAAGCTGGGAGCTGGTGGCTCACGCCTGTAACGCTCGCTTCTCAAGAGGCTGAGATCTGAGGATCATTGTTCAAAGCCAGCCCAGGAAGGAAAGTCTGTAGACTCTGATCTCCAATTAACAATCAGAAAACCTAAAGTGGCGCCATGGCTGAAAGTGGTAGAGCGCTAGCCTTGAGTGAGAGTTCAGGGACAGTGCCCAGGCCCTGAGTTCAAGCCCCACAAGCCCCCTCCCCCCCAAAAAAAACAGATTTCTGGGGTAATTTACATCTAAACTTTGAGAAATACAAACTTTATCTTACTCTATAGGAACACTGTTCCTTGATAAATACATACATACATACATATACATATATATACATATATATATATATACATATGATAGTCGCGTACATATACATATATATACATATACATATATATGTATATATATACATATGATAGTCACGTACATATACATATACATATATATGTATATATATACATATGATAGTCACATACATATACATATATATACATATATATGTATGTGTATATATATATATATATATATATATATACATATGATAGTCATATTTGCAACACTTACCCATGTTCCCTTAGCATCTGGTTACTTTTACCCTATATTATGAGAACTCAGCTTTTAACACTGGTATGATAGTTTGTTTCAGAACAAGAATTTTTACTGAGCCTATTCTATTACCAATAGGCTACTATGCTGACATAAGAAAATAGTAATTTCATGGGTTTTTGTGTTTGTTTTTTGGTTTTGAGGGGTTTTTTGTTTGTTTGTTTGTTTTTTGTCAGTCATGAGGCCTGAACTCTGGCCCTGGGCGCTTTCCCTCAGCTCTTCAACTCAAGGCTAGCGCTCTACCACTTGAGCCACAGTGCCACTTCCAGCCTTTTCTGCTTACATGGAATCGAACCCAGGACCTCGTGCATGCAAGGTAAACACTCTATCATTATGCCACCTACCCAGCTCCTGAAAATAGTCATTTCATGTGGTTTTATCTAATCAGGTATCTAGACAAAGCATCATAAATACTTTTTGAAGCTATGTGCTGATGGCTCATGCCTGTAATTCTAGCTACTCAGGAGGCTGAGGATTGAAGTTCAAAGCCAGCCCAGGCTGGAAACTGTTTGACTCTTATCTCCAATTAACCACCAGAAAACCGGAAGTGGCACTGTGGCTTAAATGGTAACGTGCTCACCTTGAGCTGAAGAGCAAAGGGACAGTGCGCAGGCCCAGAGTTCAGGCCCACAACCAACAACAACAACAACAAAAAAGATCTCAGAGTAAAGGGAAAACTAGAGATAGCCTGATCTTACTTTTGCCTCAGAGTATTTATCAATAGCACAATAGAGCTTGGTAGAATGAGAAGCTGAGTAGAAGATTAGAGCAGATAAACTTGGAAACACCAAAGACTTTCAGGGATTCTCATATATGGTAAAAGGACCACCAACGGGGATTCGGGACCAAGTAAAGGAGATCCTTTCCAGGAAGAATGACAGAAAATTACACAAACTATCCCAAGGACTGAAGCCAGCTTTGGAATAGCTCTTTCTGATTCAATTTACGTGGTCTGTTCCTAGCCAAACCAAATGCCAGAGGCTAAGTAAGCTCTCTCTAGAGGCAGATAGCACCATCCAAAATACTCAAGTGCTATGGGTGTTTTATACACATATCTGGTAGTCAACCAACAACAACAAGAACATACAATTAAAAAAAGAACTTTTTGTTTCTTCTTTTGTTTTTGTAGTAACCATATAGAAACCCTTAAGAAACAGACAAATGTAATTTTGAGACATAAACTTAAATCAATATAACTGTATGTATGTATGTATAATTTATTTGCCTAAAAATATAAATGGTCAAGCAAAAATTTTGGCAAAAGAAGCAATTAATGATCTAGAACTTAAAACAAAACTGGAAATTTAAAATTCAGTGAGTTTTACAAAAGATCAGGCTCAAGCTAAAGAAGTCATTAGTAAACTGAAAGATAGATAAAAAGAGAATCCAGATTTAAACACTGAAAGCCAAGAGAATGGGGGAAAAAGGCACACAATGGGCCAAAATGAATCATGTAAGTATTGGAATATCAGGAGAAAAAAGGCATAGAGTAGAAGCTATACATGAATAGATAACATCTCAAAATTTCCCAAAGCTGATGAAAGACATTGGTGCTGTGGCTCAAGTGGTAGAATGGTAGCCTTGATCAAAAGAAAGCTCAGGGATGGTGCCCAGGCCCTGAATTTAAGCCCAGGACCAAGACTGGCAAAACAAAAACTATAGAAAAACCTTGAGACCACCTTGAGCTTCAATAGTGAGACCTCCATCTCAACAAAACAAAGAGCAAAATACAAGATAGGATAAATAGAGATGTATAATACACCTATATTCCTAAGTACATAATAATAAAATTGCTAAAAACAAAAGACAGAAAAAGTCTGAAAACGCAGATAGAGATAAAACATACTGCCTTTAAAATTATGGAAAAATAGTGGAAACCAGTAGACAGTGAAATATTTTCAAAGTTTTTAAACTAACTTCAAACCTACAGTTCAAATTCACCAGGTGCCGGTGGCTCATGCCTGTAATCCTAACTACTCAGAAGGCTGAGATCTGACGATCATGGTTCAAAGCCAGCCCAGGCAGGAGAGTCTGTGAGACTCTTATCTCCAATTAACCACCAGAAAACAGGAAGTGGCGCTGTGGCTCAAGTGGTAGAGCTCTAGCCTTGAGCTGAAGAGCTCAAGGACAGAGCCCAGGCCCAGAGTTCAAGCCCCAGGACCACCACCAACAACAACAACAACAAAAAGGTATTTCAGCTGACCCATAGTAAAAAATATAAGGACAATTCTGAGGAAAAATGATCTCCAAGGGAAACTCAGAGATGCAGGAAAGTACACCAGTGGCTTATGCCTGTATCCTAATTACTCAGAAGGCTGAGATCTGAGTGAAGATCATGATTTGAAGTCAGCTTAGGCAGAAAAGTTCTTGAGAGTCTAATCTCCTATTGACTAACCAACTAACCAACCAATCAACCAACAAACCAAAAAAAAACCAGGAGTGAAGCTATAGATCAAGTAATAGAGTACTAGCCTTGAACACAAAAACTCAGGGACAGCACCTAGGCCTTGAGTTCAAGCTCCAGTTTCGGCATAAAAAAGAAAACAAAGAAAGAAAAATAAAAGTATAGTTATATATAAATATAGTTACGTGGACTATGTAAAACAGTAATAGTTTTATGAGGAATGTCTGTGTATTTTATATTTTTATATATATACACATATATGTACATATGTGTAGATACATATATATATGCATATTTCTGCCTACAATTGGCTATCTCTATCCAAAGGAATTAGGTATTATAAGTAATCTAGAGACAATTTAAATTTACAGGAAAGTTCAAAATGTACATGATTCTCTGGAAAGATGATATTACTTTATATAACAGACTTGGGCAGCTGTGGATTTAGATATCTACAAAGGGAGTAGAGTGGACTCAAATCAGCCCTGTATGTCCTCAAGGGCAGCATTTATCACACACACACACACACACACACACACACACACACACACACACACACACACACACACAATCATATACTCAAACATTTGCCAACAAAAGCACAGAAACTGAGCAGAGGCTAAGTGGATTTGAAGGGTTACAAACTCCTTGCATTGTCTTAGAAGTAGCAAAATATTGACTATTTTGAAATTTAAAAAAAATTCTGCATAGCTAGGTGCCGCTGACTCACGCCTGTCATCCTAGCTACTCAGGAGGCTGAGATCTGAGGATCCCAGTTCAAAGCCAGCCCAGGTAGGAATGTCCATCAACCACCAGAAAACCGGAATTGGTGCCGTGGGTCAAGTGGTAGATCACTGGCCTTGAGCTGAAGAGCTCAGGGACAGCACTCAGGCCCAGAGTTCAAGCCCCACAGCCAAATAAATAAATAAAATAATTCTGCATTATTGGAATAGTATATATCTCCTTAGGTACACTATAAATTGTTATATTTCACTTGTCCCTTCCTCTTACGGGTATGTACGCTAACCACATTTTGGGCACCCTCAGCATTGTCTTCGAGGAAGATGGATTACAATTGTATCTGTGTACTATCATTAGGAAGTGGCAGACAGTACACCTGTTCCGTTAGAAACTTCCAGGGCCAGCTGACTTGAGCAGCTGCACACAAGTCTTTCGGGTTCAGAAAGGAAAAGATGTACAGAGCGAGGCGGCGCGGGAGCACGGCACAGAAGTCCACTCTCGCCACTTGCTTCCTTTCTGCAAACCAGTCTTGCACAAACCTAAAGGGAAAGATATAAAGTTTAGTTCAAAGCACCAACATGTGACATTAATTAAAAATCCAGTAGAAATATCAGTCATTGTTCTTTCTCCAATGTTCTACCTGTAAACATAACTAAATCAAGGGCTTCCAACATCAATCAAGGATAGATTGCTTGCTTGGACTATTTTGGTGCCAATTATCTGTTCAGAACCAAGCCACCAGATCATTGGTTATATGTATATAATAACTGCTAGATCAAGAAGATTGGAGGGCTGGGAAGGTAGCTCAGTGGTAGAGTGCTTGCCTTGTATGCCTGAGGCCCTGGGTTCGATTCCTCAGCACCACATAAGCAAAAAGAAAAAAGCCAGAAGTGACGCTGTTGGCTCAAGTGGTAGAGCACTAGCCTTGAGCTGAAGAGCTGAGGGACAGCGCCCAGGCCTAGAGTTCAGGCCCCACGACAGGACCCCCCCCCCCAAAAAAAAAAAAAAGAAGAAGAAGATTGGAGCTGAGTACAGTGGCTCACCTCTATAATCCTAGATACTCAGGAGGCTGAGATCTGAGGATCACAGTTTAAAGTCAGGGAAGTCCATGAGACTCTTATCGCAATTATCCTGCAAAAACCTGAAGTGGTTCAAGTTGTAGAGCGCCAGTTAACCACCAGAAAACTGCAAGAGGAGCTGTGGCTCAGTGTGGTAGAGCCTTGAGTATAAAAAGCTAAGGGACAGTGGCTATAGGCCCTGAGTTCAAGCCTTTGACTTTTTGTGCTTCTAAGCTCACTCAGGCTTTCTCTCTCTCTCTCTCTCTCTCTCTCTCTCTCTCTCTCTCTCACACACACACACACACACACACACACACACACACACACACATACACATGCACACACAGAGAAATAGAAGAAGAAAAAGGAGGAGAAAGAAAAGGGAGAAGAGAAGAAGGGAAAGAAGAAGAGGAGACAGAGGAGAAGGAGAAAGAAGAGGAAGAGGAGGAAAGTTGGAAATAATCCAGACAGTGATAAATCCAGCTTTTCCTTGGAAAGCTCAGTGAAATTGCAGATAACTGTGAGCAGTTTCACAGCAGATTGGATTTTGCCTCAGTTCTGTTAAGTGAGAACCCAGCACAATTCATTTCCCTTAGGCTTCGGGAACTATGGAACTTTCTCCCAGTGCTAAGTGGCTACTGCTGTCCAGTGTCACTGCGTCCTATGGACACAGATGAACTCACTGAAAGAAAAGTCTCACCTAAACAAATCTTATCCTGAAATGGTTCTTTCATCCCTCCTCCTCCTCCTCCTCCTCCTCCTCCTCCCCCTCCTCCTCCTCCCCCTCTTCCCCCTTCTCCCCCCCCTCCCCCTCCTCCCCCCTCCCCCTCCTCCTCCTCCTCTTCTTGCCAGTTCTGGGGCTTGAATTTAGGGCCTGGGCACTGCCCCTGAGCTTTTACTCAAGGCTAGCACTCTACCACTTGAGCCACAGCTCCACTTCTGCCTCTTTTTTTGTAACTAAGGGGCGTCACACATGCTAGGCAAGCACTCTACCACTAAATCACATTCCCAGCCCGGTGGGTCTTCTTTCACATGAATTCCTACTGAGAAATAAAAGTGGCATCTCTAAGGATGAGGAGACCTTCACCGCCTTCATGAATGGGCTGCTGAGCATCCAACAGGCCCAGAATGGCCTTCACCACTAATTCCCCTAACCTGTGACTGAGACGGGAGCCTCACCTACAAGACTCAAATCCCCCAAACAGTAGAGTTCGCTGGTGAAACAGTCCTCAGCAAGAGGAACATTTTAATCCAGTAAAATGGTGAAAAAAGAAACAGAATCTACTCTTCCTTCACATTAAGTAGAGAAATGAACGAGCTCTGTGTGTGTATCTGTGTGTGTGTGTGTGTGTCTGTGTCTGTGTGTGTGTGTGTGTCTGTGTCTGTGTCTGTGTGTGCATGCCTGTCCTGAAACTTGAATTCCAGGCCTGGCTGTTGTTCCTGTGCTCTCGAGCTTAAGGTTAGCATCCTATCAGTGAGCAACAGCTCCTCTAGTACCTTTTATTTTGGTAAATCATTGGAGATAAGATAATAAGAGTCTCTCACCTCAGGCTCTCTTGGCTCCTACCTGTAATCCTAGCTAATCAGGAGGCTGAAATTTGAGGATTGTAGTTTGAAGCTAGCCCAGGCAGGAAAAGTCCCTGAGACTCTTATCTACTCAGAAAACTACTCAGAAAAGGCCAGAAGTGGTGCTGTGACTCAAGTGGTAGAGTGCTAGCATTGAGTAAAAGAAGCTCAGGGACAGTACCCAGGCCCAGGGTTCAAGTCCCAGGATTGAGGACAAAGCTTAAAAAAAAAAAAAGAGCCACACATTTTCCTGCCTGAGCTGGCTTTGAACTATGATCCTCATATCTCAGCCTCCTGAGTAGTTAGAATTATGTATGAGCCACCAGCACCTGGCTCAAGGAGCTACTTTTTAAAGTAAAGCAAACACAAACATGTTTTATAGTTCTTTGTTTCTAGTCTCTGCTGCTAGTCAATTATAATAATTTCAGCAAGAAGAGAAAACATCTCAGTTACAACTAAAAAGAGTGCATGAGGAGACGCAGAGCCGGTGGTTTATAGTAAGCACACTGTGGCTCATTGCACTGCAGTTAATGTTGCAAAGTAAGAAACCCGTGAAGTGAGCAAATGAACAAAATGTGCTCTGCTCATTTCTTGTGACAAAGAGAGTTTCATTTAAATAATTCATGGTGATGCTTTGTGGTGTATTACGGAATGTACAATGTGTACTTTCAAAAATAACAAAGCTCAGTAATACGGGACTTGAGTCTAATTCCTTGCTCTTCAATTTCTGATAAGAAGTAAAAGAAGCTGCCAACACTGGAAGCACGAGGCTGGAAGACCAGCTAGGAGAGGTGGCCTGGGGGCGGGGCAGGGGGCTTGGCACAGGCCCCTCGTTGTCTAGATAGCACCTCTTCATTGCTTCCCATGGCTTCCTGCAAACCTTTCTGGACCGGATCTGGTCTGAAGTGCAGTTCATGTCCCAGTTTCAGTCCCTGGTGGGAATTTCAAGGTCACTTCAAAGAGATGACACCAGAGCTCATACAGTAAACCACCAAACCTACAAAGTCTCATGGAACAGTGAGACAAGCTGGCAGTACCAAGTATCTACAACCAATGCTCATGTGCCTTTGGAACTAGCAATCATCTTCTAGGTGACTATCCTAAAACGCTGATTAATAATATGTCTAGCCAGACGCCAGTGCCTCACACCTGTAATCCTAACTACTCAGGAGGCTGAAATCTAAGGATTATGGCTTCAAAGCCAGCCTGGGCAGTAGAGTCCGTGAGACTCTTATCTCCAATTACCCACCAAAAAACTGGAAGTGGAGCTGTGGCTCAAAGTGATATAGTACTAGCCTTGAGCACAAAAGCTCGGTGACAACACCCAGGCACTAAGTTCAAGTCCCATGACTGACAAAAAGAAAAAGGGAAAAACAGAATATGTCTAAGGCCAGGCCAGAAGCCCGTGCTTCATCCCTGCAATCTTCACCAGTCAGGCTGATGAGACTCAGAGGACTGCAATTTGAAACCAGCCAGGGAAGAAAGGTGTCTCTGAGATGTCATTTCCAATTAACCAGCAAAAATCCAGGCTGGAGGTGTGGTCAAGTGGGAGACCACTAGTTGAGCACCAGCTTAGTAAGTGCAAAGCCCTGAATTCAAACCCCAGTACCGCCCAACTTTTTAAAAAAGTGGGCCAAATGGGGCTCACTGCATTGTTCATATGGCTTGTATTAAGCTTGGAAATTTTCCAAAAGCAAGTTCAACAAAATCTCATAGATAATTTTCATTGCTAAGAGCTTAGGGCTTGTATTAAGTTTGGAAAACTTCCAAAAGACAGTTCAACAAAATCTCATAGATAATTTGCATTGCGAGGAGCTTTTATCCAGTAACTCTCTGTGAGCAGTGTGCACAGGAGAGAGACAAAGACGTTGGCTTGGCAAAGACTGGGGTTTAAGACGAAGTGATGAGGAGCCCAAGGAGGGAATGGAGAGCACTGGAATGTGAATTGTGGACAGGCGGCCACAGCCTCTAAGTGGGGCAGTCAGCAAGTCTTGGGGAAGGCTGACTGGAAAAAAAGAGGAGCGCCAAATGGACTGGATGAGCCTCAGGTCCCTCATCCAGGTCTGGCCTTTGGCTCCGCACTGACTCATTGGAAGAACCGAGTGTGGTAACAATGCTTCCCTCAACCCCATTCCAGACGTGCCAGGCCAGACTTCTATGACTGAGACTCACGCACTGCAGGTGACTCTGACCAGCCCTACTTTCTCAGTGAATGTGAACTTGACTTCCTGTGGGCAGAAGGAAGAAGCGGTGGACGCTGATGCCCATGCTGATGAATACAAAGCAGGGGAATACATGCGTGACCTGACGGGAACAGATAATTCCTCTTTAACTCAGGCCCCAAGTTAAAGGCTTAAGCTCACCCTGAGGGCTGGAAGGACGCTCTGATAGATGAACATGTTATCGTTTTCCTTCCTTGTTTTCAGGGGCAGACTCAAGTTGAGATGACCAGAGAAAGGACTAGAATGAGACCACTTTAGTCCACCTTAAACCTACTTACAAAAACAATATGGAGCTGGGCGCCGGTGGCTCTTGCCTGTAATCCTTGCTGCTCAGAAGGCTGAGATCTGAGGATCATGGTTCAAAAAGCCAGCCAGGACAGGAAAGTCCGTGAGACTCTTTTTTTTTTTTTTTTTTTTGGGGTCTGGTCATGGGGCCTGAACTCTGGGCCTGGGCGCTGTCCCTCAGCTCTTCAGCTCAAGGCTAGCGCTCTACCACTTGAGCCACAATACCACTTCCGGTTTTTTTCTTTTTGCTTATGTGGTGCTGGGAATCAAACCCAGGTCCTCAGGCATGCAAGGCAAGCGCTCTACCACTGAGCCACCTTCCCAGCCCCGTCCGTGAGACTCTTATCTCCAATAAACCACCAGAAAACCAGAAGTGGCGCTGTGGCTCAAGCTGTAGAGCGCTAGACT